CAACCTGCTTCACCATGGTCTTCTCCATGGGCTGCAGGGGAATCTCTGCTCCGGCACCTGGAGCACCTCCTCCCTCTCCTTCTTCACTGACCTTAGTGTCTGCATCATTGTTTCTCTCACATTTTTCTCCTTCCTCTCTCTCACAGCTGCTGTGCAGTGTTTTTTACCCTTTCTTAAATATGTTTTTACAGAGGTGACACCATCATTGCTGATTGGCTCAGCTTTGGCCAGGGGTGGGTCCATTTTGGAGCCAGCTGGAACTGGCTCTATCTGACATGGGGGCAGCTCCTGATCTCTTCTCACACACGGAATCCACCCCTGCAGTCCACCGCCCCCACTACCAAAACCTTGCCACATAAAGCCAGTACAGAGGGTGAGGAGGTGCTTCAGGTGCCAGAGCAGAGATTCCCCTGCAGCCTGTGGAGAGCTCATGCTGGAGCAGGCTCCTGACAGGAACTGCAGCCTGTGGGAAGAACTCATGCTGGAGCAGGGAAAAGTGTGAGGACGAAGGAGCAGCAGAGATGACCTGCTATCAGCTGACCACAACGCCTCTTTCCCCATCCCTGCTGTGCTGCTAGGGGCAGGGAGGGGATAGAAGAGTTGGGAATGAAGGAGTGAAATTGAGCCTGGGAAGAAGGGGGAGTGGGGGGAATGTATTTTAGTTTTTGTCTTTGTTTCTCACCATCCAACTCTATTTTTTTAATTGGCAATAACTTAAATTAATTTTCCCCAACTCAAGCCTGGTTTTCCCCCAATGGTGATTGGTAAGTGATCTCCCTGTCTTTATCTCGACCCATGAGCTTTTCCATCTTATTTTCTCCCTGGTCCTGTTGAGGAGGGAGAGTGAGAGAGCAGCTGGGTGGGGGTCTGGCAGCCAGCCAAGGTCAACCCATCACAATTTTTATTTGGATTTTCTTCAGTATACAAGTGGTATACACACTAAGTAATATTGCAGGCAAACTGTTTATTTTGTTTGTCCCCTGTCTTGAACACATTTATATAAAAATCTCTCCTCCTGCCAACACTGAAATTGGTTCCAGTTTAAACCACTGGATTTCTACTATATAACAAAAGACAGGTGGAACCTGAAGACAGTGGTTTGAACTGCCCTTAAGACATATCTAAGAAGGGTGGGGACATTAAGAAGGGAATGATTTCTTATTGTAAAGGTTGGTTTGGAAGTTTGGTCTGGTGGACAAGAACTCAGTAACTATCCCAAATATAAGCCCCTTCCCTGGAAAAGGATACCATCTGACTATTTGCAAGGGGTCCCTGATTATTCTGCTATTATGGAACAGACAATTAGTTGTGAAGATAAAGAACTAAAGTGATTTAGTTCAAAGAAACAGAACCTTTGATTTCATATGTTGGTGAATGGAGAACATGTAAAAGTTTTAAAAACTAGGATGACAATAAGATGAAAATACTGAAGACCAGTTCTAATACACTGCTGAAGGAAAGAATGTAGAAGGCCTAAAACAAGAATACACTGCTTCAAAGATCTGAAGGAAGTAATCACAGATCAAACATCTTTGACTGAGATCCCAAAACCCCCTTAGCAGTAAGTCTAGACATGTACTTCTTTTAAAAAATTTAAGATAGTAAAAAATATTGTGTATTTATATATTCTGTGTATGTGTACATATATTAAGAATATTTAATATTCTTTAAACTAACCTCTCGTCTTCTCCATCCTCTTAACTTCTGATTTCTTACCTTCTTCTTTATTTTGCCTATAAAAACATGAAAGCATTTTTACAATGCTGTTTTCTAAAGTCTTGAGTCTTTTTTTACTATTATTTTTAAATGAGATGTTTTGAGATATTCAAACTGTGTGTAAAAATACAGAAGTCAAACTCTGGTTTCTTCAAAGACCAAAATAAATTTATTTAATTTATTTATTAAGATACTGCAGATAAAGAATCCTCCAGATTAGGAGACTGTTTCCCCTAGAAGCAGCAAATGAAAGCATTATTAAAATGTAAAAATTAAGATAAAACTGCAGTGTATAAAACAGATTGATGGAGAGAGAATACTATAAGAGGACTCAAATTTAAAACTGACATTCAAGTTTACCTCGGGAAATTATGGGAAAAAGATTGACTATATGACAAATAAAATAACTCCCACAGCAACTCTACTAAAAGAAGTACAGAAATAAGTAAGCTATAAGTATACCACAATCTTTAAAGAAAACTCCTAAAATATTTTTCTTCAGAAAAAAACCCCAAACAAACCCTATTTATCAAGTCTTCAGTCTTGTTTTATCATAGACTTTAAAAGCCTTATTTTAATTGATATATTCCACCATTCTGTGAGTTTTTCCAAATGCCATAAAAATAAGCATCCATTAAATAAAAATCCTGCATGTATATAAGTTTCCATACCCCTTTCACATTTTATTCAGATACGGCATCAGACTTCCAAAAGATTAAAATTATTATATAATTCTGCAGAATTTTGTAAAAGAGGGGGAAAAATTCTAAGATCAACCTTTAACTGAACTCTTTTCTTGAAGTGCTAGTTTGTTTTCTTCAACTACTCCTGTAGTCAGTGCTCACAGATTGCTTTTGTCCAGCAGTATTCGTTGGGGGAAGCTATACTGTCAGCAGTGTTCTCCTTGGTTTTAGAAGCATGAAAGAGTCTGAGAGACTTGTGGTGTCCAGCATTCCTTTTGGCTGCCTGGAAGCCAAAACTTTGCATAGAAATCTGTGGGACATGTTGACTATTAATTGCAGTAGGGTAAACTTAAGTTATGTTTTATCTCTTCTTTTAGATGAACAGGGATTTGATTTTGCTCCAGAGGTAGTCTTGGAATTATTGCTTTCTGATTGGACAGCTTTAAAAAATGTCATTTGGGAGTTTTCAGCTAAATAATGATAATTACAAATGTTTGTTTTGCCTGGATGAGTGGCATACTAAAGGAGTACCAAGTTATGCAACACAGCACTGTGCTTAAATCAATGAGTTGTTCAAAAATCAATATGACATTAATGTGGTGTGGCATCTGAGTTAATTGAAATTGTAAATGAAGCGGTTGGACAGTGGAACGTATGTGGCCAATCACTTGAAAACAAATGGACACTTTTAATAACTGTCTCTCCAAGGTACATTTTTCATGACATGTTTCACTTCCTTGTTTCTACAGAACCTGACAACACTTGGATTTTTGTAGTGGCAAGAGACAAACTGAGTCAGATTGCCCTTTTTATTTCCTGTTAAAAGCATAAGGCTATTTGGGTGCAGACATGACACACCAGTGGTCATTACTAGTCAAAAAAAACTGAAGACAAACACTTCAGATACTTGCACAAGATGTCTTGACCAGGTTGTCTCAAACAAGCAACTATAGGCAAATTAATTCATATATTTCTTTAAATATTCCAGCACAATATTGTGCTTTTGCCCTTTAAAACTTGCAAGTATATCTTCCAAGGATTGAGCCAGTGGTAGTGTTATGTTCTGCCAATATACATTTCCCTCTATTCTCTCTAAGAGAGAGTGAGTGTGTGTGTGTGTGTGAGTGTGTGTGTGTATTTCATTGGCTTGAACTCTAAGCTCCAGTTAGCATTGACTCATCTAAACGAAGAAATCAAACCTGTTTACATAAACCCTTGTATGGCTACTTAAGAGCAATTTATTTGGATTAGCCATTATCAAACAATGTGTGCATAATACAAACCTATCCTGCTTAAACCAATGTTAGTTTACAGTTTTTGCAGTAAAAGTCCACTTGTAAGCTTACCACTCTGACTAAACTGGTACACCTTTCACGCTGAGAAATGCATATGCTGCACATGTTAAAACTCGAACAATCTGCAAACTATATTTCTGTCATGTGAAACTTGCTTACAATTTCATATGCAGTGTTAAATTGTTTAAAGAGGAGACCATTAAGCAGAGTAAACATGAGCAAAACATGAATTTACAAAACACTCTAAGCACTGAGTATTGCGTCTGAGCAAATGGTTTGTAAATGTCTCTTCAGTTCTGTATTTTAAATATTGCTGTAACTTTACTCCATTTGTTAACTAGAGATAAGATGCTTTCATATCTTTTTGAATATGTATTTGAACAATCTGATCCCATAGCTAATCTTGCTTTGAGCCAGAGGTTGAAGTTAGATGACCTCCTGAGGTCCCTTTCAACCTGAATTATTCTATGATTCTGTGCATTCTAGAAAATAATGTATTCCAAGTGATTGTGCTACTTTCAATTGTGTTGATAGGCATATATGCTGTTTCCTTAAGTTATCTTTTTAAAGTTTGGGACGTGTTGAATTATTCATTGGTACTAAGAAAAGCTGTAGTTGGTAATGCATGTTAAATCAGCAAAAGTCAAGGTCTTTTCTGCAACATTGTTCAACAAGCTCCTTTGTTTCTTTTTACCAACTGGAGAGGATGAATAGCTGAGGATGTTGGCACAAATTTGGCAGTAGACTGAGGAGCAACACAGTTGTACCTGCACAGACTCACATTCTTTAAGCAAGACTGTGTCTAACATACAAAGCACTGAATTGAGTTTGCCTAACAAATATTAATGAGGTAGCTACCTAGACCAGAAAAATGGAAAATAATGATTTAAAAAAATGAAACAAAAAATTCAATTTATGTCCATTATGCTGACAGAGGAAGTTGCAAGAAAGCAAAAAGAAAAATAAATCTTTTCACATTTTATCAATATTAGGTTTTGTGCTTAATAATTAGGCATCGGGTATGATCTAAACTACGCACAGTCACTAAGATAAGCTACTGCTCCTTACTTTTACTGAAGTGGAGCTCTGTATAGTTCCCTAGATGCATAAAATATGAAATCTATTTAAAAGTAAAGAAGACTCGGCTCTCGTGAGACCCCACCTGGAGTACTGTGTTCAGCTCTGGGGCCCCCAGCATAAGAAAGACATGGACCTGCTCAGGTGAGTCCAGAGGAGGAGGGCCATGAAGATGATCAGGGGGCTGGAGCACTTCCCCTATGAGGACAGGCTGAGAGAGTTGGGGTTGTTTAGCCTAGAGAAGAGAAGGCTCTGGGGAGACCTTATAGTGGCCTTCCAGTACTTAAAGGGGGCCTACAGGAAAGATGGGGAGGGACTTTTTAGCAGGGAGTGTAGTGATAGGATGAGGGGTAACGGTTTTAAACTGAAAGAGGGTAGATTTAGATTAGATATTAGGAAGAAATTCTTTACTGTGAGGGTGGTGAGACACTGGAACAGGTTGCCTAGAGAAGTTGTGGATGCCCCCTCCCTGGAAGCGTTCAAGGCCAGCTTGGATGGGGCTTTGAGCAACCTGATCTAGTGGAAGGTATCCCTTCCCATGGCAGGGGGGTCGGAACTAGATGATCTTTAAGGTCCCTTCCAACCCAAACCATTCTATGATACTACAATAGCCAAAACAACACATGACAATTTCTTGCAGAAATCAAAAAGCATGTCAGATTTACATAATAATATCTTAAGAATTGCAGAAATTATGAAAACAATTTAGTGTCTTTGGGTCTTTGGGACGTTGGAAAAGTTTAGGTTTGCCCCAAGGAAGAAGTGTGTTTAGGTTTCTAGAGAAAGAATAACTGACAAGGAAGAGACGAAATCACTGGGGGGGGGGAAGTAAATCTAGATTCTTGTTAAAGGATAGAGAAAGGTTATAATTTTATTGTTATAGATGAAGGGGACCATTTCCTTCTCCTAGTTCCCAGAATTTTTACCTTGTTCTCCCCCTTCTTCCTCCTTCCCAAGAACTGTGTGGATGGTAACATCTCGATCTCATGGTGGTGGCTTCTTCACCCGCTTATGGAATAGGTCTTGAGAATGGGTCAGATCGATTTCTTCCTGCTGTCCCAACCCCCTAAGTTTCTGGCAGGATCTTCTCTCCATGCTAATGCTTGGTTCATTTGTGATAATTTATCTTCTGACTGCAAACTGCTTGATATTACTCAACTGGCTTTGCAGAGCCAGAGTAGCATAAATCATAACTTCTTCCTTGTTCTGTCTGATAGTATAGCCTCCAGCTGCCAGACAGAGAAGGAAGTGTTTTCCAGGGAACCCTATGTATTCCATAACCTGAGCAACTTAATTCATGGCTATAGAATTTTGATATAAATCTCAATCTCATGTATTCAAGACTGACTTAAAATGTAATAGATGGCCCTGCTGGAACAAGAGAGTTAGCTTCAGATATTCTCAGGATACTTCTAAACAGAACCCACCAACTCTGTCCTACTGTTAGGAAATCTAAGTCACTGAAAGACTGACATCACTTAATTTCTGGATTCAATTTTTCCCATCCTTCCACAATACTACATATTGATTTACAAGAGCTTTTTTATTCTCCACTTAAAGTTAAATAATGCTTGGGAAAAAAAAAGGCAGAGGGAGGACACAGAACACCGTGCAAACCAATGGGGAATTTTGTTAGGTTTTGGGCCTCCTCTTAGTTTCAAAGTACTACCACAATGTACAGACACTATGTATTAAAACATACTCACGGCTCAGATTCCATTTGCTCCTCTTGCTTACACTTTCTTTCTGTCAGTTCTCTCTCATGTTGGCCTTGTAACATGTTTCTTCTATGAGCTCCTTGAAAGTTTCTCCCTCCTTTTTTCTTCTGTTTTTATTTAGGATTTTAGGGTGAGAAGAGAGGAGGAGTCTTTAGATTACTGAACATCAAAAACATTAATAGTTAAACCTACCTGCTCTAGATGTCTACACATTATTGCTCTAGTCTATGAAACACCCTGATGAGAGTTAGCATTCCTCTGTAACTAAATCCAAATCTTTTATGTGCAGATAAGAAGCTGAGTTTTATTAGTGCTTTCTCTCAGATATGGAGAAGAATATCCCAAACACCAAAAAACCCAAAGCCATTCCCAAATGATCAGCTAGAGACAGCTTCCCATCTCTCAAAAATGTATTTCACAGACCCCACAGATTCTCAACACTCAGGGCAAAAAAATATATGCGCACAAGTAAGCATATTAAAAAAAAAAAAAACCAAACCAAACAAAATTTTGCTACAATAAATCACTTACATTTAAATCCATCTTTAAAAAAAATAAAGTATTAGGATTTTTTTTTTCTTTGTAAATATCTAAAAGTTATTGAAAAGATTATTTGACAGAAAGGAATTCTGCAACTTCTCATTTCCAAGACATGCATCTATATTAGCCAGACACAAGGCTCCAACACTTCATAGACAAAATTGAAGACCTAGTATTAGCTCTAAGAAATATTTTCAGTGAACTACTGTTCTTTACAATAAGTCAATAAAGAGCAATATACCTTATCACCTTCATGTTCTCCTTCATCCTCTTCAGAATCAGACGCTGATGCAGAACCCACTTGGGAAGTATTTCTCCTTTTTGGTTCAGTCTCCCTCTTTGCTTCTCTTCTATCAAATTCCTTCCTCGATTTGTCTTCTTCCTTCTGACTCTCCTCATCTTTTTTCCCTTGTTTTTTGGGCTTTTCTTCCAGTCCTTTTTTCTTTGTCTTCTCCTCTTCATGAACACTAAAACACAGTAAATTATTTAAGCTTCATATTCATTATCTATACCCAATTTAAAAGAGAACCTAACTCTCAATTCAGGAAGATGTACTTTTTAGTTTTTATTATCAAATACTCCACCTGCACAAAGTTGGCTCACTCTTAGATCTTTCATTTCATAGGATCATAGGATAATTCAGGTTGGAAGGGGCCTCTGGAAGTCTCTTGTTCAATCCCTTGCTGGGGGTGGTTCAGACCAGGTTACTCAGGGCTTTCTCCAGTCTGGTCTTGAAAACCTCCAAGGATGGAGACTGGACAACCTCTTTGGGCAACCTGCCCCACTGCTTGACTGTCCTCAGAGTGAAAAAGTATTTCCCTATATCCAGTCTGATCCCCTCTTGTTTCAGTTTATGCCCGTTGCCTCTCATCCTCCCACCATGCACCGTTGTGACAAGCCTGGCTCCTTCTTCTTGATGAACTCCTTATAGGTATTGGAAGGTTGTTATTAGATCTCCCCCAAAGCCTTCTCTTCTCCAGGCTGAACAAGCCCAGTTCCCTCAGCCCCTCCTCATAGGACATGTGTTCCAGCCCTCTGACCAGCTTGGTGGCCCTCTGCTGAACTCGCTCCAGTTAGTCGGCATCTTTCTTGTATTGGGGGACCCAGGATTGTAGATGTGGTCTAACAAGTGCTGAATAGAAGGGGATAATCACTTCTCTCAATCTACTGCTGTGGTGGGTTGACTTTGGCTGGCTGCCAGGTGCCCACCAAGCTGCTCCCACCAAGCTGCTCTGTCACTCCCCCTCCTCAGCAGGACAGGGGGAGAAAATAAGATGAAGAACTCATGGGTCGCGATAAAGCTGGTTTAATGAAAGAAAGCAAAGGCCGTGCCCAGACACGAAGCAAATAAAAAAAAAAAAAAAAAAAAAAAAAGATTTTTTCTTTTTT